AGTAGCGGGTCAGTGCGCCCATAACCCCCCAGGACAACGAGCCTGTAACCCTTCCCTAGGATCAATCGGGGATCACCAGTGGACCTCTGACACCACGTAGCGTACCAAAAGGCCAAGAGGGTACGCAAGATCAAGACGAGTGCAGGTCATCAGGTACATGAGGCAGCCCACTAGCTCTGGGTACGGGCCACTCGGCTCTACGGACTCGTCCGAAGGTGGAGCTGAGAGCAAGTGACCGGTAGCCAGAGGAGTGGACTGTGGCGAGGACCAAGTGAAGCCAAAGCGCTGAAGGACCTGCTGCACCATGTGTGACTGAGTAGGGGTGATGGTGCACCGTGCTCTGTCCCAGGTGATCTGCAAGCCAAGATAGCTGCGCAACTCACCCAGGTCAGTGCACGTGTGTCTCTTCTGCAGCTCCGACTTCACTAGGGCGAGAGCCTCAGTGTCAGCAGAGGCAAAGACCAAGTCGTCGACGTACACGAGGATGTAGAACGGCGGCAACGAAGTGCCGGTGCGGAGAAACAGTGACGGATCAGCAGTCGAAGGAGCAAACCCAAGTGCCGAAGTGTCGTCCTCTGTGTGTGCTGCCACTCACGAGGCGCCTGGCGGAGACCATAGACTGGCCGCCGGAGGCTCCACTGGGTACCTGCAGGAAACGACCCCAGGTGGACGGCACAGCCAGATCTCCTCGTGCAGGCTGCCCTGTAGAAAAGCTGTGCTGAATTGCTAATAACTAATTGCTAGTGCATTTGGTTGTTAGGTTTTGTGACGACGACGAATCCTGGATGGGAAGCTGTAATGATCATCAAACAGAGTGCTCCGAAATTAGGTTTGGATTCAAAAGCCTCCTCTACAAAGACTGAAGCCTAGTGTGTCAGAATGTTATTCTCTAGCCTGTAGTGGGGTGCTCTATAGCGAGTACAACCCATCTAGGGTTTGCTATATGTATCCTCATTGCTGCTAGTGAACTCTTCTCTCTTTTGCCTAAACTTCTCTTGCCTAGCTAGGACTTACCTAGCTATGGCTCCTAACTCTACCTACTTTTTTCACATGCTATCAGAGCAGGTCGATCCCCTTGGGTCGATCCTGTGGGTGGGCTCACCACCTCACTGCTTCCGCTGCTACTGCCACTCTCTGTGTCGCACGCCCCGTGGCGTGCGACGGATTTTTTATCCCGCCGCGCGCTCGGAGCGTGCGGCAGTTTTCTGCCCGCCGTGCGCCCCGGGGCGTGCGGCGGTTCTCTGCCCGCCGTGCGCCCCGAGGCGCGCGGCGGCCTTCTGCCCCGTCGGTCCGCGCGTCGCCCCCGGGGGGCGCTTCGACGGGCGACGGGGACCAGCCCGTCGTCCCCCGTCGCCCGTCCTGGCCAGCGCGGGCTGCGCCAGCCCCGAGCGCGGCCCGTACGGGCTGCGCCCGGCCCGCGCGCGGCCCGTACGGGCTGCGCCAGGCCCGCGCGCGGCCCGTACGGGCTGCGCCAGGCCCGCGCGCGGCCCGTACGGGCTGCGCCAGGCCCGCGCGCGGCTCGGGCCGCCTGCGCGCGGTTCGTCGGGCTGTGCCAGGCCCGTGGGCGGCCCGTTCCTCTCTGTCCCTGAGCTGCTCGCTGTCCCCCGTGCTTCTGACGGTGCCCCACCCCTACTGCTGCCCGTTCTCCTGAATTAGGGTTTGGGGGTGAGGAGTGTGGGGGTGGCGGTTGTGTGTTACTCCCCTTGCTCCTCCTCCTCCCTGGTCTCCCACTGCTGCAGCTGCCGCTGAGGGGGGTGGGTGTGTGGGAGCCTAGGGTTTAGGGTTTTAGGGGGGTGCGTGGGAGTGGAGCTAGGGTTTGAGCAGTGGGTGTGTGTCGAGGGTGTGGGGCAGTTGGAGGAGGTTGTGTGGAGGTACCTGTCATGTCGCCTGCAGCGCCTGTAGTCCGTCGCCCTTGCTTCGGTAGCCAGTGAGCCTGCTGCACCAGTCGCCAGTGGGTCCGTTGCTCCTGCCGCTCTTCTATAGCCGCCGAGCCAGTTACTCCAGTAGTCCGTCGCCCTTGCTTCGGTAGCCTCTGAGTCAGCCGCTCCTGTGCCGGTGCCTCTGCAGCTTCAGTCGTTGCCTCCCATCTTCTCTACCTCCACAGCTCCTCCTCCTCCTCACTTGCCCGCTGTGATTAGCTCTAGCTTTGCTTACCTTTGTGAACTCCTGCTCTATACCTGCTTGCTCATTGTACTGATTACACCCCACTTTGGCTATGGGGGTGTGTCAGAATGTTATTCTCTAGCCTGTAGTGGGGTGCTCTATAGCGAGTACAACCCATCTAGGGTTTTGCTATATGTATCCTCATTGCTGCTAGTGAACTCTTCTCTCTTTTGCCTAAACTTCTCTTGCCTAGCTAGGACTTACCTAGCTATGGCTCCTAACTCTACCTACTATTTTCACATAGTGTTACGGGTGCAATGGAACAAGATAGCTAGGATTGCCACTCGGTGTCGAACAAATACTATGAGCGAATACTTGTGCGAAAACATGCAACGGTTACGCGGCGTGCGAGCCAGCTAGTGCTAGGCTGGCATCGAGGTTCGGGCTAGTCCCGAAGCATAGGCCGACTCGCCCAGCCCAGCTTTCCATGGTTTGGTAAAACAATGTGCGCGATGTTGGCGAAGCCCTGCTGCTGTTGTACGCGATGTTTAAGGTCGCGGTAAGGAATGCTGAAAAAATCCTTACACTACCCCCCCTCGCAAGAAGCCCCCTTCGCTACGCGAGTGCGTATATATCGCGGACGAATCCGATGGCTCAGAATCTTCTCGGGCTCGACGATCGGCTCCGATGCAGGGCGAGTCATGGACAGTGGGCGATGTCATGGCAATTGACTTATGGTCGGAATGTATGGGCGAAGCAAGCTGACGTGGGACGATGGGCAGATATACCAGTCTGTCGGTAACAGTAAATGGGCGGTAACTGAGGTGATCATGTTGTCAAACTATGATGCTGTGTGTGTTGTGTAGGTTGTAGTGGGGTAGCCCATATGGGGTACAACCCAATTAGGGTTTTCACTTGCACCCACCATTCTCATAGTTCATTCATTCTCGCTTAGTCTTCTGACATGGTATCAGAGCTGGTCCTGTTCCACGACCGTTTTTTTTAGGGCCCACAGAATAGTTCCCTGCCTGTATTGCGTTACCTTGTTCGTAGCGCCCTACTCTGCCCGTCGTGCTGCCCCACCGGTCGCGCTGCCCTGCCCTGCCCGCGCGCCGCCCTGCTGGCTTCTGCGCCACCTTGCCCTGCCCGTCGCGCCGCCCTGCTGGCCGAGCGTCTGCCTGCCCTGCCCGTCGCGCCGCCCTGCTGGTCGCGTGCTGCCCTGCCCTGCCCGTCGCGCCGCCCTGCTAGCCGCGCGACGCCCTGCCCTGCCCGTCACGTCGCCCTAGGGCCCGCGCGACACCCTGCCCTGCTCGTCGCGTCGCCCTAGGACCCGCGCGACGCCCTTCCCTGCCCGTCGCGTCACCCTAGGACCCGCGCGACGCCCTGCCCTCTGTCAAACTATAATGCTGCTTACCGTATGTTGCGTAGGCTGTAGTGGGGTAGCCTATATGGGTTACAACCCAATTAGGGTTAGTACGTGTACTCAGTTTGATGTCAATACAATCATTCATGCTTGTTAGTTTCTGACATGGTTTCAGAGCAGTAGGTCCGTAAGACCGTTTCTTTTTTTCGGGCCCACCATTACCTAGTGACCGACTGCGGTTACCGCATTACCCCACGCCTTGCCTTGCGCTGCGCCTTCAGCGCGCGCCCTGCCCTGCCCTGCCTTGCGTCGCACTGCCCCACGCACGCCCTGCCCTGCCTTGCTTCGCGCTGCCCCGCGCACGCCCTGCCCTGCCCCGCGCACGCCCTGCCCTGCCCCGCGTCACGCTGCCCCGCGCACGCCCTGCCCTGCCCCGCGTCACGCTGCCCCGCGCACGCCCTGCCCTGCCCCGAGTCGCGCTGCCCTGCGCACGCCCTGCCCTGCGTCCTGCTGCAGCCCGTGCGTCGCGCCCTGCTGCAGCCCGCACGTCGCGCCCTGCTGCCCTGCTCGTCGCGCCCTACGGCGGCCCGCGCGTTGCGCTCTGCTGCCCCGCACGTTGCGCTCTGCTGCAAACCCGCACGTCGCGCTCTGCTGCCCCGTGCGTCGCGCTCTACTGCAGCCCGTGCGTCGCGCCCTGCTGCCCTGCGCGTCGCGCCCTATAGCAGCCCACTCGTCACGCTCTGCTGCCCCGTGCGTCGCGCTTCGCTGCAGCCCGCGCATCGTGCCCTGCTGCCCCACGCGTCGCGCCTTGCTGCAGCCCACGCGTCGCGCCCTGCTGCCCTGCACAGCGCGCGCCCTGCTGAGCCGCGCCGCCCAACCCGATCCGCCCTGCTGCTCGTGCTACTGCTGCTGCTGGTGGAGGTGCTGCTAGGAGTGCTGGAGGTGCTGCAGCTTAGTCTCACCGAGCCACTCTGCTGCTCTTACTGCTGCTGCTACTACTCGTGCTACTGCCTTCCCTCCGTACTGACCTACCGGTCGCACGCCTCCTTGCTTGCCCGCTATGACTTCACTTCGTAATAGCGGTGGGAGTGGTGACGGCGGTAGATATAGGGGATATAGGGGTAGATATAGGGGATAGGTAACGACAATAGATAAGGGGGATGGGTAAGGGGATACTTAACCCTCTCTCTTGCTTCCCTTGTACTGGAAGATAAGCCGCATACCCCTTCACCTAGACGAAGGGATATATCAAGGGGTAGATATAGGGGATAGGTAACAACAATAGATAAGGGGGATGGGTAAGGGGATACTTAACCCTCTCTCTTGCTTCCCTTGTACTGGAAGATAAGCCGCATACCCCTCTCTCTCACACATCATCCAATGCTGTGACAACCAACCGACCACCAATCTCATACCAGAAGCAGCATTTCCACCCTTCCCAATCCCAGACCTGCAGCATGTCTTACTCTTACAACATGCACCCACATACCTGCACTGCAGCATCACGTTACTCTTACATGTCCCCTCGTTACTCTTACAGATTGCACCCTCGTCGTACCTGCAGCATGCCTTTGCTGATCGTCTTGCACGCGAGCCTCCCCCCCGTCACCCGATCCACGCAGGCTCGGATCACCCCGAACCTGCCCCGGCCCAGCTCGTTCTTATCCACCTTATAAGACTCCCTGGCATCCGCAAAAGGCCGCTTCAGAATATTCACCAGCACCTGCTGCAGCGCCGCCTGTCCCCCATCCCCAGCCTTTTCCGGCTGCCCGAATCACCTCCCGGTTTTTCCTGGTCAGTCTGGCCTGCATACCCTCAGGTGTGACAGGTCTCCTCTCAGGTGACATAGGCCGGTTCCCCCCTCTCCGTTCCCGCTCAGGCGTTTTCTGCCTTCCGCCAAAGGGGGACAGCATTCCCCCGCCCATGCGCGGAGTCCGCCTCCCCTCCCCCGTCCCCCCGTCCTCCGCGTCCGCCCCTGCGGGCAGCTGCAGCGCTGCCACTTCCGCCACTAGCTTCTCCTTTTCCGCGCCCCTACGTTCCTTCTCCATCCGCCTCCTCTCCTCCCGCTCCTTCGTCTCTCTCTCAAGCCGTTTCAGCTCCTCTGCAAGCTTCCGCCTCTCCTCCCTCTCTCTTTCAAGCTCCAACGCTAACCGCCGGTGCTCTTCTCTCATAATGTCCTCCTCCCACCACCTATACCCTCTCCGCGGCTCCCTCTCCCCCCGCCCCCCGGTCCTCATCCGCCCGTATCCGCCATCCTCGTCGTCAAAATCCGCGACAAACGCATCTTCGCCGTCCATTTGGCTCCCCTCGGGAACGTCCTCGCGCGCTCCGCGCGCCTGCGCCTGCGCTCCTTCTCCTCAATCAACCGCAACTCCTCCTCCTCCTCCTCCTCATCGTATTCCCCCTCTGCCCCCAGTCCCGCCACCGTTCTCGACCGCGATGCGCCACTGTACCGAGTGCCCCTGTGCCCCCCATACCCCCCCGCCTCCTCCTCCTCATCCGCCAATTCGGACGCGGAGCGCGGAACCCCCTTCTCCCCCCGCTCCTTAGCAACCATGCCCGCCAACAGAGTTCCTTCAGTGGTCGATGCGGAACGGGGGACCCCCGCCCTCCGCCCGTGCACATCCGTCGTTTTCGGACGGCTTAGCCCCTCCCCCGCAAACCCCATTCGCCCCGCCATCTCCATCCCCGTCGGCGTCCGCGGGCGCGCCCCCGCTTCCCCGTGTTCCGCCGCACTCTGCCTACCAGCTGCGCTTCGCAGCCTTCCTGATGGGCATTTCCCACCCCCCCGCTCCGCTACTCCGCGAGGGCGGGCGGGGAAAAGCGCGGAGCCAGGGTCCCCCGCATCAGAGGCGTGAGAGCTCTTGCGGGACGGCGGGCGGTGCGGATCTCTTTCCCCCGCGGGGCTCCGCCTAAGCGGAGACCGCATTGGCCCGCCCTCATTTGCGTATCTCGAGCGCATGCGTGGCGGGGGCGTGCGGGGAGTGTGTTCAAACCCGCCGTCCCCCCGCTCGCGCATGCTCCTCGCGCGCCTGCCCACGTCGTCTTCGTCCCCCAACGCACTGCGCCGGGGTCGCCTCTCCCCGTCCTCGTACGAGATATCGTCGTCTCCGTGTTTCGGATGGTAACGTCGCACGGACGACGACGTTGACGACATGCTTTCGCGATCCGGCGAAATCGGCCGCCCGCCGCCGTTGCTCGCCCCACCTGGCCCCCCTCCGGCCCCGCCGAGCGCAATTTTAGCCTCGGACGCGCTAGAAGCAGACCGTTTAATCTTACTATCCGGGTCATCGCCTGCGCTGTACACTTGCACCGATCTGCACCGTCGCGCAAACCGCATGTTTGCGGGAACCCGCTCCCCTCCCCCTGCGCCTGCTCCCCCCGCCCCCAAACCCGCTCCCCCTTCTTGAATAGACTCCTCCACCCACCTACTCACAGAACGCCCCCTAGAAGGCGACATTATTTCCTCCGCGTCTTCCGCCAACGGGGACTGCAGGCGCTCCCGCGTGCTCCCCCCGAATCCCCCCCCAGCGCGCGCGGCCGAGTGCGACTTGGGGATCGAGCGCGGAGAGCCAACGGATCTGTCCCCACCCATCCGCGGAGAGACAAGCAGGGCGCCATCCTCCCCCCCATTCCCCCAAGACCAGACGAGCGCATTCTCTGCCCCCCGCTGGTCGCTGGCCGAGCCGCGCCGCCGGATTCTCGCAACCAATCAGGAGGCCGGCCACTGGCAGTCGACAGGTCATCTCCGCCTGAGTTGTCGCGACGCATTCGCCTCCCTCCTGACGTGGAAGGCCGGGCGCCTCCATAGTCGTCGACTGGGTGGCGGCCGCGCTCCGGAGGGGGGGATTTTTCGCGCCGCAATACGCCGTTAATCGACCTCCCTCCGCCCCCCCCCGCTCCCGCTCGTCGTCATAATCGTCCAATCCAAGGCCGCGACTGTCGAAGAGAAAAGGCCCCGCCCTCGCTTGGGCGAAGTCGACCATGCATTTCGGAACAAGACGGTATTCGTTTCGTGGTCATCGGCGACTTCGGGGACTTTTATCTGTGTACGACGAGTCGTTTATCGACGAGATTAATTGGTCGAGGTAGAAGTGTTTCCTCTGCTCAATCAAAGTTCTCGTCTAGGAGGAGCTCGTCGACGGGAGTAAAACGGCGTCAAAGACGAGCCTTTCTGATAGACGGAATTGGCAGAATTGGTGTTTCGACGGATTGCTGGTCGACAGAATTTAGTTCGACGAGTGTTTCGTCGAGCAGAGCGATTCTGGTAGACCAGAACTACTTAGCTCCGAAATTCACAATGTGCTTCGCCCAATCACGGAACAGCAAATTTCGACTAATCAGGTAATTTCGGAAATTGTACTCCCCAGGAGAATTCGATTCAGTAAGGAAACTGAACCTGAAACACGTTTTTACTAACAGTAAAAACTGTGAAGAATGAGGAATGAAGAAGAGGGGGATTGCACTAGCAGCAGTTGGCATACATATAGGAAACCCTAATTGGGTTGTACTCGCTATAGAGTACCCCACTGCAGGCTAGACAATTATAACATTCTGACAAAAACGTCCACAACTATGAACGTTGTAAACCTGAGCAACTACTCACTCAGGTGAAATATGCATGTGCTCGTCGTTTCACCTGCCGTTGCTGACTCGACAGATTCAGGTGCTTGTCGAGGAACGTTTCTACGGGGTTCATTGTCTTTGCTATTTGGTTCTCCTTGCTTGTACCATATTCTTGTTCTATGAACTTTTGCTAGTGGAACTATGCTTGAATTCTACCAGGGCTACTAAGTTCACTCCTAAGAATCACTGCCAGAACTCTGACCGTGTGTCCCACGCTATTCAAGCTCTCCCGTAGAATAGAATTCTCCGCATGGTGCGGTGAGCGTGGACGGCCCCGCGTTAGAACCTTTAGATTAGCCAACTTCTGCGTTCATTACCTAAGTTGTAGGCCAGCAGCCGTCTAGACCGCCATGGACGACCAGGAGGTCGTAGCAGGAGTAGAAGATACTCTGCAAGTGCGGTTGGATGGTGTTCGGGCACGCCACGAGGCTGGCGGGTACGGCGAGGCGGACTTGGAGATTTTGCTCCTTGGAACTCGTGCGCAGTGGGCGCGTGAGCATCCCCCTCCCCGTGCAGAAGCGGACGGTGCGTCCGCCTCTCCCCGACCCGTGCACAATGAAGGTGACGGCGGCAACGTTGTCGGCGGTGGAAGCACGAGGGTGCGCGGAGTGATTCGGCCTGCCGAAGTAAGCATTGGCGGAGTGCAGGCGCAAGTGCTGCGATCATCTGCGACTTGAGGCGGCTCGAACGGCAACATCGATGGTCGACGTCAATCTCCTCTGCGGAGTGGAGTCAGGCCGACTTCGGCGACTCATGCGTCGGCTGGTCGAGACAGAGGCATTGCACCGGCGTACGGATATTTTAAATTTTCGCCGGACAAGATCGCTGTGCCGAAACCACTCGAAGGTCGACACGACTTGATCATGTGGATTGAATCTATCGAGCCTCAGCTGGAGATCGCCGGATTGAAGAAGTTCGTCGACGGCAATGTTGAGACGCCGGACGCAGACGACTCTAAACTCTGGACGGAATTTCGCGCTGCTCATCTACTGACATTCATGGTCATTTCGAGGTGTTGCTCGCCTCTGGTGCAGGTCGCATTGAAGTCGTGCAGACAACGGGTGGATGCTGGCTACCAAGCGTGGCAGTACACATGCGCACCTACAAAGCGACCGACGACTTCTACATCAGCCAACTGGAGAAGAGATTGGCTACCATTCGCATGGGCGAGCAAGAATTGGCGACCGAGTACTGCAATCGAGCGCGACGAATTTTGGCCGACTTGCGAATGGCTGGCTTCGAGTACTCGGTGGCGTCTTATGTCATGCATGTCATCAGCGGCCTCCCATCGAACTACAATCTGATGCGCCGGAGGCTGATAATTCCCGGCACGCGCGAGACTTTGAACGAGGATTCGCTTTCGAGTCACATCATCCATGATGAGTTCATGCAGGAGTCTGAGCGGTCTTCAGAGCTTCTTCCGCAGGCCAACTACGTTGCTCCGGCGAAGCAGGGACGCCAACAGGGGCAGCATGGGCAGTCTGGCGGCGGCGGTGGCTGGAAGTCATCGAACGCGAAATCGACGGAGGGCTCCGACCGCGGAAAGTCGGCGAAAGGAGGAGATCGCTACAGCAGTGGCTCGCGTCGAGAAGGACGTCGCTGCTACATCTGCGATGCGCCCGACCACCTCTCCTACGACTGCCCCGATCGCAAGAACTCTGACAACGATGATCACAAGGGAAGCCGCGGGAAGTCCAACAATGGTCGTCAACGTCGGGACAACAAGCCGCGCAAGGAGAAGCAGCCGTCGAAGACGACTTCGACGAAGGATGCTGACTCCTCTGGCGACAATGCTCGTGGCGAGGAGGCTTCGTGCTTGATGGTCAGTGTGGTGGAGCCGACAATCTCGCTGGCGCTGGAGGCTGGCGAAGACTTCAAGGCGGTCGCTGCTGCTGTGCAGGCCAATCCGACCATTGTGCTGCTCGACAGCGGCTGCTCCCACCATTTGATGGGGACGAAGGAGGCCTTCGTCGACATGCAGCCAAGCGGCGATGTACGCCACGTCCGCGGCTTCAACGGGGCACTTCAGAGCGTCGAAGGCAGAGGCACCATTGCTCTGCAAGGGGAGGCCGGGAAGCAGGTCCTCGTCCCCGACGTACTCTACGTTCCGGGTGTGCACGCGAACCTGCTGTCTCCTGGCCAACTCAAGGAGAACGGCATGAAATTACAGGACGACGGCGGAGAGATGCTGCTGGTGTCTTCTACTGGCGATGTCCTTGGTCGAGCACGCTACTCCTGCTCGACGAAGTCTACGACGACTTCGACGGAGGTTGTGGCTCTGTAGACGATCGCGTCTGCGACGAAGTTGACCCCTGACATGTTGCATGCAAGGCTTGCGCACGTCGGCATTGACACGATCAAGAGCTCGGCGAAACATGAGGTCGCCGCCGGTCTGGACATCAAGAAGTCGACCGCAGCTGATCTGCCATGTGCCTCCTGCGTTGGCGGCAAGCTGGCAAGGCACACCTTTCCCGACAAAGGTGCAGAGGCCAAGAACGCACTCGATGTAGTGCATGTTGATCTCTGCGGGCCATTTCGGGTGGCGTCCAATGATGGTAGCCTCTAGTTTCTTCTGTTGAAGGACAGGAAGACTCGCTACGTGTGGGTTCGGCCGATCGCGAAGAAAAGCGACGTGCTGGTCGTCTTTGAAAAATGGCTGAAGGAGGTGGAGCGGTAGACGTCAAAGACGGTGAAGAAGTTGCGTTCGGACCGCGGAGGGGAGTTCCTCGGTCGCGCCTTCACCGACCTCGTCGAGGACAAGGGAATCCTCCACAATCTGACGTGCCCCTACACTCCGCAGCAGAACGGGATGGCTGAGCGGGAGATGCGCACGGTGGTCGAGGCCGTGCGTACGATGCTTCTGCACATGGGCGTGAAGCATCACTGGTGGCACCTCGCTTTGCGACAGGCCGTCTGGGTGCGCAACTACCTCGAATGTGCTTCTCTGCCGAAGGGGACGACGACGCACGAGCTGCTGTTTGGGAAGAAGCCGGATTTGACGCTGGCGCGGTGGGGCTGCATGGTGCAGTTCATGGTCCCTGAGCAGCAGCGCGGCGGGAAGTTGGCGCCAAAAGCCCGATGGGGTCTCCACCTGGGCGTGTCGCTGGAAAGCAAGGGCTGGGAGGTGCTCGACTTGACAGACAACAAAATCGTCACGACGGTCGAAGCGATCTTCTACGAGAACTTGTCGATGGAGATGTGGAAGGCAGAGTATGGGCCGGCGTCGACGAGGACGCCATCTGCCCCGCTGCCAAATTCCTCCTCAAAGATGTCTCTGTCAAACTTGTATGCTATGGTCTACCTAGGCTGTAGTGGGGTAGACACATGGTACAACATTTCTAGGTTTCCTACTTGTACCCACATTTTGCCTAGTCATTTCATTTTCCTCGTAATTCTCACATGGTATAGAGCAGGTTCCCTAGTGGGAACGTTTTCTAGGGCCCACCACTTCTAAGATTTTTTTTTTTTTCCTTACCTGCCCGGAGCGCGCTTCGCGCCTGCCCTAGTCGCGCCCCGTGCGCCTGCCGTCCCGTCGCGTCCCCTGCCCTTAGCGGCCCGTCGTGCCCCTTAAGGCCCCTTCGCGGCCCCTTCTCAGCCCTTCGCGGCCCCTTGGCGGCCCTTCGTGGCCCCCTCTCACGGCCCTTCGCGGCCCCTTCGCGGCCCCTCGCGGCCCATTCGCGGCTCTTCACGGCCCCTTCGCGGCCCCTCCCCGGCTCTTCACGGCCCTGCCGCCCCGTCGTCGCCACCCCAGCAGCAGTTGCCGTCGCGCCTGCTGCCGCTGCCGGTCGCCGCCGCCGCCGCTGCCGTGACAGCCGCCGCCGCTGCTGCTAGGACAACCGCCGCTGCCCTTGCCGTGACAGCCGCCGCCGCCGTCCCGGCCCTACCCTGCAGCCGAGGCGCGGCCCTCCTCTGCCGCCCTATCGCGGCCCTGTTCCTGCCGGCGCACCTCGGCCCTACCCCACCACTTGC